CAGGCTCTCAACATTTTTAATTCAAAGGAAAGAGGTGGCCATAATATAGTGAGGGAAATTCAACAAGCACATTCTAGTAGGTTTTCTGTATATTTGGAGTCTGTGTCTGCAATATTCAGCTTTATTGAAGTAGTGTTGCAAACATCAGAGACCTACAGTATTTCTCTTAAGACACACACAATTATTATTACTATTATTATTATTATTATACAGGATTTATATAGCACCAACAGTTTTGTCAGAGCTTTACAAAATAAAGGAAGACAATACAGAAGTTCAATACACAGGGTTAGGGCCCTGCTCCTTGGAGCTTACAACTAAGAGATTAGGAAATAGCCAGTTCTTTATATTGATGTGCCTCTGATTAATTCACAACACTGCAGCTCAAAAACGAATGTTTTTCAAGTGTTTGACTTTTTTTTGTTTTTTTTTTTTTTTTTTTTTTTTACTTATGCTTCTAAGCGCCACTCCATGGGGGCACATAGGTGTTTACACTGCCAGTGTGTTCAGGAGTAGCAGTGTTTTGGCAGAACGATGAACACATTTAAATGCATTTAAGTGGTAAGTGCGTCAAGTGATTGAGTGCTCATTCATTTCAATGGCCATAATAAAGTATTTTTTAACCAATTAAATGAATGAACGTCCAAGTGCTTCACATACCTAAACAAGTTTGCAGATCCGTTAGAAGAACTAGGCAAATGCCCAGTGTGCATGGGGCCTTACTTTTCCTGTCTTGCTGTGCAGCAGAACTGACAATGTCCACCAATATTGGTTATAAACAATATACTGAAATGTACATACACGTTATTTTTCTGAAGAAAGATTCTAGAGAAATTACCTCCTTTTATACAGATATAGCAATCTCATCAAAATAAATTTCAAACTGTGAACACATCCACATTTTCCAATACAATATCTAGCATAACGGTCCAATGTTTTTAATACATTAAAAAGTGCAATGACAGGAAAAGGTGATTGTTAAGCCCAGAAGAAACTTGCAACAGCAGTCAAGTGCTGAGGTTTTTAAGGCCATCTCCACCAAAGCCCAAAGTGGATATATTTCAAAGTCTACGTGGTTGAGACCAAAAAGTATCACACAATGGCTTATATTTCTATTAGGGATGCAGAGATACCGGTATCAATGGCAACACCAAATATTTTCACGAGTACTTGTAAAAATGCTCCCAAAACCTATACAAAATGTATGGACTCAAATTGCACTGCAAAGAATAGCATGTGATTTGAACATGAATGCAGTGCGATTCCTGGCCAATTCACATGCGGTTTTCCCACTGCTCCGGTGTGAAGCCATGCTTGTCATATCCTGAGTTCATACAGGAACGGTGCAGGAAACCTCCCTGCACTGATCCCATGCTGTCACAGAAGGAAAAGCCGATTCACAGGTCTGGGGATCTGACATCCCTGCTTCTTTCTCTCTCTCTCCGCAGAGATGACTGTACGGTCTAGACTGTCATCCCTGCAAGGAAGAGAAAGCTGCTTCACAAGTCTGGGGATTTGAAATCCCTGCTCCTTTCTCTCTTGCAGGGATGACAGTACAGGCTAGACCGCTTCTGACTGGTTAGCATCATGACGGCGCTGACCAATCACAAGCCATCTAGCCCGTACTGTCATCCCTGTGGAACAGAGAGAAAGTTGCAGGGATTTCAAATCCTCACACCTCTAAATTGGCTTTTCCTTCTGTGGCATCATGGGTTTGGTGCAAGGTTTCCCGCACCGCTCCTGTGTGAACTCAGGCTTTGCAAGTCTTGGTTCACACAGGCGCGGTAGGGAAACAACATGGGATTTGGCCAGGAATCACACTGCATTCCTGTTCAAATCACATGCTATTCTTTCCAGTGCGATTTGCATCCAATCCGTCCATACATTTTGTATGGACCCAAATCACTCCGCAAAGTATCAGTACTCAATATCAGTGAGTACTTGACTAAAAGTATTGATACTCCTACTCTCCGATCGAAAAAGGGTATCGGTGCATCCCTAATTTCTATGGTGCTCCTGTGGCTGACAGAATTCACAGTTTTTGCCAACTACTGCAGCAAACCAAAAGATGAAGTTTTGGATAGAGTCTTCATCGCATAGACACCATTCTGGCCTTTTCGAAATGATTCTTGGCCTCTTTGATATCTTTGGATGGAAATTGTTTGAAGACAGCAACTGGGCAGCATGGTCTGGTTTTATAAAGACCTCAAAATCTACAGTACCAAGTTTACCCTACTAGTAAGGCCCTTTGCACACAGGCATCATAATTTTTGATGTTTACTCAGGAATTTGTGATGCCCATGTGCAAGGGGCCAATAACTGTGTGTAAAGACCTGAGTAATGTTGAGTATAGGCGAGTAAAGGTTTGTAAGCATATAGATGAGTAAAGACAGGTAAATTTCTTCATTGCCAGTATTGTGGTCCCTTGTACATATATGTCACATGTTCTAGAGTAAACACGTGAGTAAATTACTGCACTCAAATGAAACATTTTCTATTTTTGTTTTACTGCTCTGTACTCAATGCTGTATCACTGATCTTTACTCTGTTGCTGTGTGCAATGTCCCATAGACAACAATGCCTCTCATTTCAGATCAGTAAAAAACTCTCCATTTTTTACTCTCATGTGCAACAGGCCTAAGACTGCACATTTAGGTGACCACATTGCTGCTGGACAGAGTTTTTGCAACTGAATAAGTGCTTACTCTTTTTAGACTTAGAAGACAAAGTCATACAGCTTTGTGACTTATATCAAAATGTTTGTAAAGCCTTACATATACCTATTGAAGTGACTGGTCTCAGGTGATACACAGAGATGAAACAAATCATCCTACATAAGTTGTCCCTGTTTATTTGCAACCATCTGTTCTGCAGATCCTTGTAAATCTCAAAGATGAAAAGAATTCTTCATAAACTCTCAAAGCAGGGGCAGGGATATGCAGTTACACACTGTACAAGAGCTCTGAGAGCTGATTGGAGGGAAGGGACACACCCTTCTCCTCACAGCACACAGGAACAGAGCTGAGGCTGTCAATCGGCTGGAGGTCCCTCCTCTGTCACCTTTTTAGCTCTTGGTGTCAGGAAAACTTGTTACAAGTGACTCATGCTCATAGAAGAGGAACTAGGCAGCAGAGGGAAATTAAGTGCTTTGGAGATAGGCAAGTAAACACTAAAGACGTGTGCTTTGTTCAGATTTAATGTCTGAGGTTTACAACCACTTTAAATATTGGTGCAATATAAATATATCATCTGTGTAGTAAGTATTCAGTTATATGCATTCTTGTGAGGCTTCTTCATTTTATGGATTGTGGGTTTTTTAATGCTGTTATTTTTGAGACGAACATTCCTGGGTGACTGTCATGGGACTATGCTGAGAATGATGGCTATGGTACATGCTACTGGTCATGTTCTTATCAGCACACTTCATTCTTTGTCTGTTACTGTGTGCTTCCTTTGTGCAAGCAACATGAAGATACATAACATCAGGGGTGTCAAATGTGTATGCCCACATCGCTCATTTCCTGCTGTGTGTTCTGCTAAGGGGATGTGTGACACAGGCTCACATTTTCCTCAACTGCCACTGGAGACACTTATCTTCCTCCAGATGTTGTCTGATCCCTTTGGTGCTGTTTGGGGACTAAGAATCGGTAATTAGGGGAATAGAACTTACCAAGCACTGCTGCCTGACCCCCGCTTTGGGGTGAGTAATGTCATCAGTTTGTCAAAATGACTTGTATACGACTTGGATGTTGTATTAATTCTTCGTCAAGTACTGCATTGATTTTTAAGCTGCTTGAATTATAATTAAGTTCCCTCATTTACCACAGTACAAAAAATAACTGCTCACTTGCATAAATACTGCATAAGTGTACAGTTTTTTTTTTTTTTTTATCACTGAAATCCTTTGTTTCCATTAATACATGTTATCTCTTAATTTCTCTCTTTGTTTTATCTTCACTTGAGACTCTGATCTCCACAATAGTAACCTCATAGAACCACACCCTTTCGTCTGCCATAAGCTTGTGGTATATTAAGCAGCAATAACTTGTGAAATAATGTTTGGAATTGATTTTTACATATCAAATACTGCCAAAATCAATAATCTGACGTGCATGCCGTAAATTAAGGTGATTGTTGCAACAGAACCTTTAGTGAACTGAATTTATTGTCCCTGTTCAGGATGTATAACAAAGTACTGCAGCAGCCTAGTTTTGGCAAGATGCCTTTAGGAGATTTAGGTACTATGTACATGCCTATAGGCGTTTGCATATACAGTATATATACACAGAGACAAGACGCGCACACAGAGAAATTCTTAACTTGTGATGACATCATCTGGTAGCATTTCCTTTATTCAGACCGAAGAAAGTTGGCGTATTGGTTACTACACTTTGCATAATGTTATTAAATGAAGCCTGAAATCTATGTGCAGTGCTGGATTCTTTCAGTTGTGTGCTCAATAGAGGTTGCTTTGACCAAGCGATCTATGATGACTTCACTGCCAGAAGAGATTAGCATAAAATTAAATCCACAGGTTACTGCTGGTGCCTGACTAGTACATTTAAATTAGAAGCTTGCATTCAGCTGGCCTGAAACCAGGCAGGCAAGAAGGAAATGTATCAGGTCACTGAGCAAAGCTGAAAAGCTGTATTTCTGTTGTTTTATACCCCTTTTGTGATGCTGGTTATTCTGAAGCTTCAATATACACTTCACAATCCAGCGAGTGCTGACCCAATCATGTGATTACACTGATTGGTAGTTACAGAGAAATGATAAAGGACTTCCTTCTCCTCCTGATCTAAAGCTTATCATAATCTTTATCGCCTAATATGGACCTAACCATTATGTAATCAGTCAGACAGATCCCAATGATCAGTTGTTTTTTCCCTGTATGATTTCTAGATGTTGTTTTTATGATTGCTCAGACACCACATTCATTCAGGATCATTGTAATTCTTCTAGCTGAGTTGGATGCAGAACATGCACAGCGAGTCCTGGATATGGAATATGCCCAGCAGATGAAGCTAAAGGAACGCCAGAAGTTCTTTGAAGAGGCTTTCCAGCAGGACATGGAGCAGTACCTGTCTACCGGATACCTACAGATATCAGAGAGAAGAGGCAAGTGACCTAATCCTCCTGATTTCTCACAGCTGGGGTGGTTTAAGAAAAAGAGATTCCTATAGCAGCCAGATTTAATTTTTTTTTACAGCAGTTTAGACAATTGTAAGTAACACTAAAATGGTTAATATTAGGCCAAAGTCTTATTTTTTTAAGTGTGAACCACCTCTTCCCACAAGTCCCGCTATCAGTAACACTAAGAATGATACCAGACACGCTATCAGACCTGCCCAAGGGTGAATATTTTTTACAGGTTCCAGGTTCTGTGTGCTCTCCACCAAGACGTACCCTGTTCATAGGCAGCAGGCACTGTCATAGCTATAATGTTCACATTGCACAAGCTGCAGAGTTTGCCAGAGGCAAGACTTGTAACTACTGTCTAGCCATAGGCAGACCAAGCAGTGTGTTTGCATTAAACGTATATAATTTGTATTGCCAGCTGTGTTGAGGACAACCTGGTGGGTGGGAGAGCAGATTTTACTCATCTACACTTCAAAGTAATCATTGCTTTTAATTAAATATTGATGAACCTTATTCATATATGTGTGAGCTAATGTAGCAAATACAGCTACAGGTTGTGGAACCATCATATGCCTCAAAATATATTTCAGTGTCCCCTTAATTCAAAACCTGGTAACAAGTGATCTATGATGATTTATGTAATACACTGCTACACTAATCTCAGAGTGATTAGTTGTTATCCCTCGCAGCAATGCCATATGAAGTAAACTTGTCACAAATCTGAATGTTTCAGACTGAGCATATTAGTATAAATGTATAAGCTGTGGTTACCTTCAATGGAAACTACATATCAGAATGACTAGTAAATTCAAAGATGAAGGCAGTTAACATTATGTGAAAATATTGACTTTGTAGCCCCCTGAGCTTCACCACTTATTGGTCAGGGAAGATGCCCAGCATGTTAAATGAACAATATAGAGGCTTGGTATGGGTGGGACCACTTTGCAGTCTGTTACCACTTTAATCCATTATCCACTGATCAATTTGATCTTCAGTTTTCTTTAAAGGTAATCTTTAATTATGTATCATTTTATTTGAATTGTATTTGAAAAAACAGCAGCCAACTGTGAGTACATTTACATATCTGACCCAGGAGCCTTTTATTTGTGCACCATAATCTTGAGCATCTCAACAAGTTGTCCTTATTTTTGATATAGAACCTATTGGAAGTATGTCCTCCATGGAAGTCAATGTAGACATGCTGGAGCAAATGGATCTAATGGACATGTCTGACCAGGAAGCACTAGATGTCTTCTTAAACTCTGGAGGAGAAGACAGCAGTGTATTGTCTCCAATGTTAGGTAATACTAAACCTCTGATACTTATTTTTCATGACAGTACATTATATTTACAATCTGTTAAAGTTACACATTTAGTATATGGTGACTAATCCTTATCTCCCATGCTATGCAGCAGTTTACAGCCATGCGATAGCTTTAAAATGATTTAAATTGTTATGCAGTATGCCCCATCCCTGTGGCTCACTGGCAACTATCCTAACTCAGATCCCAAGGAAAGCTACAGGGAACATGGACAGGTTTCCAAAGTATTTGCAGTAATTTCTCTTGCAATGTGTTATAATACAGTGGGTAACGAAAAGAATCACCCCCCCTTTAACCACTTGCCTACTGGGCACTTTCCCCTCCTTCCTGCGCAGGCCAATTTTCAGCTTTAGTGCTGTTGCACTTTGAATGACAATTGTGCGATCATGCAACATTGTACCCATATGAAATGTATATAATTTTTTTCACACAAATAGAGCTTTCTTTTGGTGGTATTTAATCACCACTGGGTTTTTTTATTTTTTGCACTATAAACAAAAATGTGTAAGAAATGTGAAAAAAAAAAGTTTTCTTTCTATTATACAATTTTGCAAACAGGTAATTTTTCTCCTTCACTGATGTTCGTTGATGAGGCTGCACTGATAGGCAGCACTGATGTGCAATGATAGGCAGCACTGATAGGCTGCACTGATAAGGAGGCACTGATCATGCAACGATATGCAGTATTGATGGGCACTGATAGGTGGCACTGGTGGGCACTGATAGGCGGCACTGACTGATAGCACTTACAGGCAGTACTGCTGGGTGAAACTGATGGGCATTGATGGGTGACTCTGCTGGGCACTGATGGGTGGCACTGCTGGGCACTGGTGAGTGGCACTGCTGGGCGGCACTGATAATCAGTGCAGTTGTCCTCTGTTACATTTGCCGGTTATCAGCAGTACTTTCATCACTGGCATCTGTATTTACTTTGTGATCTGCTGTGTCATTGGACACAGCTGATAACGTGGTAAAAGGCCACTGTGATAGCCAGGGGGCGTGTTCTGGGAGGACGTCCATGGACACCCTCCCAGAACTGGACAACCATGCTGTAGCTGTCTTTCGGCTATAGCGAGGTTGGCAAGCGGTTAAAATAATCACATTTTGTTGCTTTGCAGACCTGACATGAAGACAGACACAGTTTTTGTTTTATCCAGCTGTATTTACTCAACTTATAACATCCAAATGCAAGATATAACACCAACATGTCAGAGAAAAATAAAAAAAAAATGAAAAACAGAATCACTGAGTGGACAAAGCATCACCCGCTCCTAAAAATGACTTGTAAACTCAATCAGGTGTAGCTAATCACCTTCTCAATAGCACACAAAGCCATTTGACTCACTGAGCTGATCAGCTGTGGTGATTTTGATAAGTTCAGCATTAAAAGAGCTTTCATGGAGCATTTCAGTCCCTGGTAGTGCAACTGAAACAAACAATCAACTGACCCTTATGGTAAAATGCAGGCATTCCACTGTGTGGGCACCTGTTAGTTGTGGTGCATAGAAACAAACTGTACACGGAGCCTTCAGATGAGCTGCAATCCATTACAGAAAAATGATTGAATCATATCCCCCTGATGAAGCTGCGTCATCTGCAGCGTAACGCGTAAGGGAGGAGTCTTGACGTCACCCGACACCCAAGGAAAGCAGGCACATACGCTGAACGGCAGACACGCTGGCAGTAAGGGATCGTGGATAATTTTAAACAAAATGCTTGTTGGGCACATAATAAAGGTCTTTTATGTAAGGATAAGACCCTATGTTTATGTCTCCTTTATACTGAGGAATATTCTTGGGAGGAGATTGAGCAAGGGATTCCTGCGGTGGTATGAATAGGAGAGAAGAGTCACGTTTCCAGCAGCAATTGGGAGATACTCACCACTATTGCTGAGATGCAATATATGATCCACAGTTCCAAAAGGTGAACAAAAGCGGTTTTGGCCTTTTAGGAGGCATCAAAGGAGGCGAGCGCATATTGAGATCATAATAAGAAGTCACTTGGAATAAAGATTTGTTCATTTTTGAATTTATCACGTTTATACTGATCAATTTTTTTTTTTTATTTATTGCAATGGTCACTTATTATTCGGATATAATTTGTTTCACGCTAACACAAAGGACTTTATCACTAATGTATATTTTTTTGAAAGATAATTGTTTTATTACATGTTATAATAGTTTTAGGAGCGCGGCACTATTGTTTGTAATTTTATTTATACACATTGAGTAAGTGTTTTTTGTGCTGACGCACCTTGTCAAACGGAAGTAGTGGCTCACAAGTTTTTTTAAAAAAAACACCCTTTTTAAAATGATGTACCTCTCTCTGGAGTCTATACCTCTTAATACAAGAAAGGATTTTGCTCGCTTTAGAAACCGCAGCTTGGCATTGCATGCCATTATTAATCTTATGATCTACCAGAACCCCCAGATCCTTCTCCACCATTGATTCCCCCAGTTGTACCCCCCCAGTATGTATGATGCATGCATATTCTTAGCCCCCAAGTGCATAACCTTACATTTACCAACATTAAACCTCATTTGCCACATAGTTATCCAATTAAACAGTGCATTGAGGTCGGCTTGTAAATTGGAGACATCCTGTAAGGACGTTATTCCACTGCACAGCTTGGTGTCATCTGCAAAGACTGAAATGGGATTTATAATCCCAGACCCTATATTGTTTATAAATATATTAATAAGTTAGGGTCCGAACACTGAACCTTGGGGTACACCACTGACAACCCTAAACCATTCAGAGTATGAATCATTAACTACTACTCTCTGAATATGATCTTTTAGCCAGTTTTCTATCCATTTACATATGGATTTTTCCAAGCCTGTAGACTTTACCTTCCACGTTAGCCATGTGTGGGGAATGGTGTCAAACGCTTTTGCAAAACCAGTTCTGCCAAGAAGAGTGGACAAATATTGCAAAGTCTAGATGTGCAAAGTTTGTAGAGACATATCCCAACAGGCTAAAGGCTGTAAATAAAGCAAAAGGCGGTTCAACAAAATAGTGACACAAGGGGTGATCCTCTACCCAATTCGGTGATTTTGTTTTATTTTTTTTCCTGACTTGTTGGTGTTCTTTATTTCACTTGGATATTATAAGTTAAGTAAATAAACCTGGATAAAACAAAAACAGCTGGATAAAACAAAAACAATGTCTGTCTTTATTTTGGGCTGCAAAGCAACAGAAGGTGATTACTTTAAAAGGGGGTGATTCTTTTCTATACCCACTGTTTGTGGGCTCATACCCTAATGAAATGCTAAATCAGCTGGTACATGGAAATTATAAGATGGCTAAAATACTGCTTTGTGATATTGTCTGAAATACAAATGCCCTACTTAAAAAATAGGCTTTTTAGAACTTGTTGTAAAATCCTTTTCCTGTGTTCATTGGAGACCACAGTTCTGCTTTAGATCATTACCTACTGAGAGGCACCTCAACAGGCAAGCAAAAATAATCCTGACCAACCATCTTAAAAGGAGAATATACAGGTCAGGAAAAATATCACTTGAAAACATTATGCCTAAAACTGGTGCTGCCTCATCCACCTTGTAAAACACGGTGAATGCATAAACTGGCAAACAAGTGGCCCCTTGGTTTACTCAGTAGACTTTTGTCAAAGGGGCCAGACCAACATTTGTTGGTGGAATGGTGCCAACCTTCTACAGGCATTATTTGGGTATATTGACAGCCAGTTCTCCCAACTGTCAGAATACATTAGCCCAACAGGAGGAATTCAACTATCCACCTGTTTGAATGGAGGTATCTGTCAGATTCATTTTGTTCAGCCCTCAGGCTGAATGAAAGAAATTTGTTAGTGTATGGCCAGCTTTACTGTGTGTTTTACATATAGGAGGCAAATAGGCAATAGCTGAGCTAAGTCTGTAGAATGTGTCTATGTACATTTATTGTACAGTTGTGTTCAAATTAATAGCAGTGTGTTGAAAAAAGTGAATAAAGCTCAAAATCCTTCTAATAGCTTTTATTTCCATACACACAAATGCATTGGGAACACTACACATTCTATTCCAAATCAAAACATGAAGAAAAATATATCACATTTGTGTTGTTCCTCTAAAAACAATTGAAGAAAAGTGAATATCAGACGGTTCAAAAATATAGCAGTGTTTGTATTCTTCTTTACAAACTCAAACATTCACTATATAAACTGAAAAATGTTTGAAGATTTTGCTTTCCTTTGAATCACTTAATGAATATTTAGTTGTATAAGCACTGTTTCTGAGAACTGCTGTACATCTGTGTTGCATGGAGTCAACCAACTTCTGGCACCTGTGAACAGGTATTCCAGCCCAGGATGACTGGACTACATTCCACAGTTTTTCTCTATTTCTTCTTTTTTGCCTCAGAAACTGCATTTTTGATGTCACCCCACAAGTTTTCTATTGGATTAAGATCCGGGAATTGGGCTGGCCACTCCATAACGTCAATCTTGTTGGTCTGGAACCAAGATGTTTCACATTTACTGGTGTGTTTGGGGTCGTTGTCTTGTTGGAACACCCATTTCAAGGGCATTTCCTCTTCAGCATAAGGCAGCATGACCTCTTCAAGTATTCTGATGTATTCAAACTGATCCATGATCCCTGGTATGCGATAAATAGGTCCAACACCGTAGTATGAGAAATATCCCCATATCATGATGCTTGTGCAACCATGCTTCACTGTCTTCACAGTGTACTGTGGCTTGAAGTCAGTGTTTGGGGGTCGTCTGACAAACTGTCTCCGGCCACTAGACCCAAAAAGAACAATCTTACTTTCATCAGTCCACAAAATGTTGCACCATTTCTCTTTAGGTGGGACTTTGCGGGGGCTTCTTGTAGATAGCTTGGCTTCACATAGGCGTCTTCTAATTGTAACAGTACTCACAGGAAACTTTAGACCTTCTTTGATTTTCCTGGAGCTGATTGTTGGCTGAGTCCTTGCCATTTTGGCTATTCTTCTATCCATTC